TACTTCTCGTTCCAAGAGCTTCTGCTGTGATTCTTCAGTTAGGTCATTTAATGTGAATTTGCGATCTGTTGCCTCTTTATAACATTTGTTGGTGAACACCCTTTTCATTTCATGAAATTCCTCTATCTTACTTTCTGGTATTATGAATACGACTTTTCTATCTGATTTTTCTTCTAAAAGTGTATTTAAAATTTTTAAAACATCTGATAATCTTTCCTTATCTGAATCGTAGGGATATCTTATGCATAGCATTTTTCCTGCTGCAGAATAGTATAGGTGGTTGATTTTGTCTCCCTTCTCCATATAAGAATTAAATTTTAAAAAAAGACAATCTCGTATAGGATAATTTCTATTCTCAATTGTTAAGCTTTCATAAATACTTAAAATGCTTAACAACGTGTTCTCTGTTTTTAGAAGAAAAACTTGTTCGTTTGACCTTAGAAAGTTATCAAGATCAATAGGATTTTCAAAATGTATCTCATATTTTATTATATTGTTCATTTCTCCTAAATATTCATTAAGAACTTGTACACTATTCCTTGGCTTAATTAAAAAACTGTTTTTAATGAATTCCTTACATCGATATGCTATTCCTCCTTTTGCTTCATTGGTGTAGTACTCAAAAAGCGACTTGATTTCTTTATTTGTATTCAGCAACCATCTTCTTCCTTCATAACGATATTGTGCGAGTATATGTGGAATCCTTACAATTAGTTCAGAATGCTGCTCATCCTGCGGATATGTAAATGCTCTTGCTAGTGTTATGGGCGGACTATCTTCAGTGTTACTGTGTATCTCCTTAATTGTGTCTTTTGTATAATCTTTAATATTCGCCGTTGTTGTTTCAAAAGCTTGCTTTTCATTATTTTGTAAATTATATGGATTACAATCATTTTTATATAGAATATACATTGCAAGGTGCGTTAACTCATGAGCCAAAGTACCTAATAGTTTATTTTCTTCTATCTTAGCTGCTAAGTAAATTCTACCGTCTTTATAATCAGTAGTTCCTTTTGTACCTTCTGAAGCAGTGGGATTAATATCCTTAATGTTTTCATTATCAAAATCAAAAATTATGTCAAGATAATCTATATATTGTATCACTTTTAGAATTATTGAAACTTCAGGAATAGCATCCAAAGACCTATAAAGTTTCTCGATTAGCTCTTTGTCGACGGGTTTCTCTGATCTTGATTTTGATGTTAGGTAAAGAATATGTCCTTGATCAATTTGAGGAAATTTAGAAATCATTTCTGTTTTTAGAGTATCTTTTTCTCCTTGAGAGAGTTTATTTATGCAGTCTTTTTCATCTTCATTTTTAAACATAAATCCAGCGGACTTAAGAAACGCAAAAATCTCGAATCTTTTTTTTTCAATAGCTGTAAACATAGCCGATTGACCTTCACTATTTAGGCAAAGCTTCGATTCGCTAATAGTATCCGTATAAACTTTAATATCCTCTAAGTGGTTTTTTTTAATTTGTTCATGTAAAGAATTCCTCTTTCCAACAAATTCTTCAAGTTCCTTCTGAACATTGCCTTCATTTAACACAGTTAGATCAAAGTGATTAGGAAAATCTGAATCAGCTTTTAATAATGCAAGTACAATATCATAATGGTGATTTTCCCAAGCTAAATCTACAGCACTCTTTTTTAATTTATTATGACAATTGATATCAATTCCACATCGAATAAAAAAATCTACGTTATCTTTTTTTCCACTTTTAGCAGCTATTGATAGTAGTGTATTACCTTCTTCGTTAATTTGTTTTAACAATTTGAGTTGTTCTTCTGTAAGAGTAGTTTCTCTTAAAGGTAATTGGAGATTAATTACAGATGCTATATCTTTTACATTTCCATATGCCGCGGCAACCGGTAATGGTAAATTTACTTTCTGATTGTCAGCAGCATCCATATTTATTGGTTGCCAAATTTGCTGCTGTGACTTAGTTCTATTTATATCACTATGCTGTTGAGTTTTATATGAATCAGTATCGCTACCATTTGCTAAATCTAATGCTGTTTTACCACCTAGTGCAGAAAGAAATTCAACTAAATTCTCATAATTTTTATCACGTGCAACATCTAAAACTGTTTTTCCTCGTGCATTTAGAGCATTTATTTCTGCACCATTCTTTAGACAGTTTCCAATGTCTTTCATAATTTGTTCTTGTGGCAGTTTTTTGCGTATAATAGAAAATAACTCATAATTCTTCAGCCACTGTTCATCTTCATCGCTACTACTTATACTATCAGGATACATTTTAAGAATCTCGATATTTTCATATACTAGTATATGTTGCGCGAAATCTTCCTGCTGCTGTTGTTGATTTTCTAACTAAGAATTTACTGGATTTATTCCAAAAGGAATGTGTATTTCCGAGCTTTCAGTTATCACTATTGCAACTTTATTGGCATCCTCTATCCGATATTATTATCTTCATATATGTAGTATCTCTTGCTTGTCGCCACCTACGGTCATCAATAAATATTATCATCGTACTTGATCTACGCGATATTTTTTCACAAACAAAGAAATGTAGGAATAAGCATGAAAGGAATGTGGTATCGGAATTGATATTTCGTAGAGCAAACTGGACGCAGTGATGAGTGAATAAATAATTAATTTATAACCGAAATCACAAGTGAGATTCGAATCATCGTAAAAAAGTGCACCTTAAAAAGAGAGCAATCCATAGTGTACTTTTTGACGTTGAAAAATCATTGGATCCAAATGTTTCATTTTCGAAACCGCTTGGTTTTGTTGAAGCAAAATAAGGAATCTTCTACTTCTAATTTCACATCAACACCGTCGCGAAAAATTATTTTGAAAATCTTCTGAAGACGTTGCCGAAATCATACGACCAAAGAGACACAGAAAATATCTCTTCAAATATTTGATGCAAACATGTAGACCAGTGGATACAAAATTAATTCTGTTGCGAGCGAAAAGTTTCTTTATATCTATGATCACTAGACTGTGGAACTTTACGCAGATTTACATTTTCATACTTAATTTTGCAGAAACTAAAATAACAGAAAAATTTCTTTCATTTGATAAAAGATTTCTTATGATGAAAATAAAATTAGTATATTGTTAACGTTCATTTATACACATGATTTCTTCACTTTTGATCATCAGATCATCAGTCTAATGGCCGCTTATTCGCGGGAAAGACTGTTGAGTGGTATGCAAGGCCAACTTTACGGGCTGCTTTGGCAGACAAATTTGACACTGACACTTTCAGCAATAACTCATTTGCATTTCAGTGTCCAAAATTAACAAGATTCACTTCAACCATTCACGCCTACAAAGCACTTGAGCCATTTATGGACGAAACTTTGTAACACTCACTTGAAAATATTAGCCAGATAATTAGTATCCTGATATTGCGATTATGGAGGCCATCGTTAGACTCATCTCCATCGAAGGAACCTCGCGAAGAAAGCTGCAAACAAAATATTAGCTAACAAACAGGCTTGCGTTTATGGATTCTCGATATATTGGAATAAAATTCAAAAGCGGAGAGTTGAAAAAGATACAGTAAATTCTCTCCAATTGTCCCTCAGTTTATAAACAGAAATGAACAATTTGGGAAGAGAAGACACGATTATTCGAGTCTCGCGGCTAGTTTTTATAATTGTTGATAACTTTATAACTGTACTCATGGGACAAAGAGGTGTATGTTACTTTACAATTCTCGATATTGCCGCAAGATTTCACCAGATTCCACTAACACAACAGTCTATAGAAAAAAAGCATCATTCGTTACCCATGACGGGCAATATGAATATTAGATAATATAGTTCGGTTTAAAAAATGTCTCACCTATGTATCAAGGAGCTAAAGAGAAAGTATTAGGAGACTATGCTAATAACATTGTTCTTACCTATGTACATAGACAATTTATAAATTGCCAGAAAGATCGATGAAAATACACAAAATCTTGAAAAAGTTATAATAATTAGGCTGGTAAACGCACGAAAGTTATCTTCCTTGGTTGTGAGTAGAAAATATTTTCGAAGAAAATAGGATAGACCAATAGGACCTGGACAGAAATCTACGTCGTAATCGAGTAATTCCAAAAATATATTTTTGACAGACAATAGGAGGCAAAACAAAGGCGATTCTATGATGTATAAATAGACGGAATCACGTCACAGTAGACATCCACAATCCAAGCTAATAATATTATAATTTGGTATGAATCGTTTGATGTTAAACGTGCATAATATTGCTGGGTTCTAGCTGTGAAAGATAATTATATTCTTTACAGAGAAAAAGAAACGATATACAGTAAATTCTCCGTAAATAGTTCCTGTTAATGGTTTGCTTACAGTAAATTGCTACAGTAAATTCTCTCCTGAGCTTGGAAACAGAAATGTGGAGGCTCGAATAATCGTATCTTCTCTTCCCAAATTTCTGTTTACAAGCTGAAGGACAATAGGAGAGAACTTACTGTATTCCTACGCCCAGAGATGTTCTCGCTTCCCCTCCCCCCTCTCACTCACACTCTATATCTATCTATCTATCTATCTATCTATCTATCTATCTATCTATTTATCTATCTCTACCTGTCTCTCTCAGGAAATGTCGGAACCACGAGGCTCAAAAAATCGTTTCTGCTTTGGCTAAGTTGTCCATTTCCAATTCCAAACTGAGAGACTAGTTGGCAGAATTGACTGTATATGCGACGCAACTACTGGATGAACGTTAGAATTCTGAACTACGATCTCGACGCGGCATAGAGTTTCTATCTGATCGTAGTTCAGAATTATAATGTGTTCACCTAGTAAATGCGTCACATTTATTTCTTCTCGAACATTGATCACTATCACTAACAAAGCACCACTGATAACAAATAAACGTAGGAGTATGTACGGAGGGGATGTGACAACCAGAGTGATTGACAAGAGCGGTTATGAATTAATTTTTCGGGCAGCAAAGCGGGCACATTGTAATGTAAAATAAAGTATATTGTGAGCATTGGATAAATAATTAAATTATATACGAAATCTACGACAAATAATAGTTATTGCATTATTTTCATCCTTATAATAGATCTGTTGCTTATACGGCTTACTTAGTACGTACACTAGCCTTCCTTTTATAATTCTGCGAACAGCAAACTTTTTTATCCATGTTATTACCAATAATATTTGCGATAATTCTCGAACTCATGCCTAGTGCTTGTCATATTCTTCGACTAATTTCTCTAGCTGCTTTGGCACGTCTTTTAAATGCAAGCTAATTTAGTAATTTAATAAAGTATTACCACCATTTATCAACTTTGTTGCATAAATGAGCATGTTGAGCATGATCGTCTATTATTCGTCTATTATATTAAATCGTCTATATTTATGCGCCGGCTATGATCATATGCATGCAATTTAAAATTCACAGTGATAAATTATCTTTGTTTTATTGCTTTATAATAAATAGGAGAGATTTGACGATGTGGTTTACAAAAGAAGCTATAGAAGCATGGTTTGAGCAATTACCTATAAATAGAAGCATTGGTAAGCAAAAACAATGAGAAAGAGGTATAAAATTATTAGCAATACTTCTAAAAACATTGTTTAGAAACAAAAATAATGGGTCACGAAAACACGCATGCCATAGATATTATGCTCATTATTGCTTACCTCACGTTATGTACGTTGATTGCTCTGTATAAATCTGTCTATTAAAACATTCGAAAGATCCGTTGGAACAAATAGAATTAACAATTAAGAGGTATCCTCAGGTTTACAGTAAGAAAAACAGTTTCACCAGAAGTATGTTTTACACAGTTGTATGTCGTATACAGGATGCGTACGGACACTGCTTTTTGATAAGTTATCTAGAGATAAGATAAGATACATGGTCAGCAGGTACCCTAAGTTTGTAGTTAGGTCCACTTCTATACCCCCTCTGTGCTATTATATTTTACAGGTGCCGTTTTCATCCTTTGAATATACGCGCTTCCAAATTATACAACGTGCAGTAATGTAAATGACGTCCCAAACTTAGGATGCGCATATGAACCGTATCGCATTGCATCTTTTTCGTTTCAGGTATTTGCGGCCACAGTGACATCAATATCACTTCGGTGTCGTGCCGAATATTACCGATAGTTCATGAATTATAGGTGTGTAGCAAACACAGACTTATACACGGACTACATATATGTATATTAATACCCCCTCCCCCAAACAAGCATTAGAACACCAACTGATTTAGAACAGATGTTCCAATTATCGTGCCTTTAAGCCAATTTTTGCTTTGCCGAAACTCTCATTAAATAATAGAATTTTCATTTAATGCACTAAAAATATATTTCGATTTGTCAGACGTTTCTGATTTTAAACATATTTTCTTGCATGATAAAATTTAGCAATTTAACACCATTGCCCGTCAAATGATCGGTTTCCTACATTTTATTTCATAATTATTGAAGTCATAAAACTGTTTCTATTAAAAATTGTTAAATATATTTCTTTACTCAGGCACACGCTAACATAAAAATTGTTTAAAAATTTGAATAAATTCTATCTTGTAATTCTTACGAGGCAATTCTTGTTAGTCGCTTTCAAACCTCGGTAGGTTTACTTGTTAATATAATGTTCTTAATTAAACAAAAAAAGTGTTTCTAGCCATAATATCGTACACTTCCAGGAGATCTGCATTTCCGTGTCTTTCCATATTTTCGTGCGTGTATTTTATGCAAGCTTTTTCAATTGTTCTGAATGAAAATGACGTTGGGTTTGATTACGCAGTCTAATAAAAGAGGGCACTGAAATCTGGACAACTATTTCCGAATTTATATTAAAAATATAAAAATATATAAATGTAATATAGTATAATGTAATATAATATAATAAAATATAATATAATATAAATGTAATATAATATCGTATAGTATGGCACAGCATGGCATGGCATTGTATAATACAATATAATACAATATATATTGTAATAATAATTGTTGGGATTATGGAATGAAAATGAATATGATTCTAATTCTTTTCTTAAAAAGACTTTATTTTATTCCTTTATTGAGAGAAGGTATATGGGCGAAAACGATCGAGCGACCAAACTCTACTGAGAGTCCGGTAAGAAAAAACGCTTCTTTTATACCCTTCTTGGGTTCGTCTTATCCACCAATCAGAGACGTTTATTTGTCGCGTTTCACATTGTATACGTGACGCTGGGATCCCCAAACAGTCAGGGCACGATGTGTATCTAATGGTACCGGTGATGATGTATCGCGGTATCTATTATATACAGTTTACATCACACCGTCGTTGCCCGCTGACGGAAACGACGAAAATGTAAACCGATATCTTAGTATCTTAGTACTAAGTAAACTATAGATTAATTTTTGTTCGAGGCTAAAATTTCCTTTTTTTCAACAATAATAATAATAATATACAATACAATATAATATGTATCGTAATGGTGACGTAATGATGACATGACGAGATGCATGTAACACCTCTGTCTGAATCTTATATGTTAATAGGTAAACATAATAAAAAGAAATAGGTCGTCAATTTATATATACCACTTGACTTTTTCTATACATTTTTTTTCTAACACTGAAACATCTACCTTAGTATGAATTGTAATTTCTTATTCAGTTTAAGTAATATTTTATGTTTATTATTAAGTTGTATGGCATCGTATTGTCAATTGTACGCATTAAGTTAGAAGCTTTTGTCGCTTGTGTAATTTAGTTTACCCATTTATTGTATTTTGTTCAGTGAAAACGTCGAGTTCATTTCATACGATATGTTTTCGCAATATGTGGAACATATTACACATGTATGCAATCAAGTAGAATGAGAAATAATAGGCAAACTTATAATATGTACACCGAAGTTAGTCCAAGAAGTAATTAAAAAATGCAGTGAATATATATGATCGATCGTTATTTTTATTTTATAATGTAAAAAGGGTCATATATATATGTACTTGTCACAGTTTAATACAATTAACTCTGAAACATATGAAAGGAATTATAACAATTTCCTATCGGTTTCTTAAATTCATTTGATTTTCTGAGTGTCCTAATACTTTTTAAGGGGAATGTACGTCATTTCTACGACGATTGTTTAATAATAGTTAGTGTCGACAAATGTATATGGTGTATAAATTTGAACGATGGAAATATTACTTTCGAAGTACATACAATGCTACAGAAATGCATTTTTATTAATTATAATATTATAAAAAATGTACTAAAAAATGTTTGATTTCAATCATTTTCCATTTTTATTTATCTCGCATTGTAAATCAATTCACATCGTCATTTAATACATTTCATTTCTTCGTAGCCTATTCTAGATTAAACATAATTATGAGATAATTAACAATCCATATTTTTTTAAATATTGAAGCAGCTTTAATAAGTTATTTAAAACTTGATCTCGAACGATATATTCATCCAACTTCATAATTTTGCCAAACGGGCAACAGAACCGAGAGATATATGTTTAAAAAATATATAGTATATTGTTATCTATTACATAATTATATTTACAAAAGTCAGTACGAATACTATGCGATTATTCAATATACAGGGTGTCCCACAATTATTTTAACAGCCGAAAATGAGGGGTAGCTGAGGTCATTTGAAGTAACTTTTTCCTTTGCGAAAATGCAATCCGCGGCTTTGTTTACGAGTTATTAACGAAAAACTCTGGCCAATGAGAGGTGACGGTGCGAGAGAGAGGGTCCGCGAGAGAGTCCGCAGCACGAGGCTTTGACAGAAGGTCGGGACGGACTCGAGCCGCGTTCGAAGTATTGAACAAGTCACGAAGCGAGAACTTTCCGGATTTTTTTAACTACATAACAGTGATATTTTTAAGAAAAACGCTGTTCACCTTTACTTTAGAACGTCTGAAGAATATTCACTGATTTTTCGGACTCGAAATAATATGTAGTTTAACCGTGACAGTCGTTTTAATTTTCTGGTGTGCATGACACCTTATGTGTACCATATGAAATTTTTATGCAAGGTGTACAGTGAAGATTAACAAACTTCGTAAATGATATTTTAATTTAAATA